CTCTCATTGGATGATGTTTTGCTTCACAGAGTGGTGTGCATGCTGGGTTCTAATTCTGACTTCCCCCTTACAACTGTGTGTCTTTTGGCACTTAACTCTGGTCCTCAGTTTCTTTATCTGTGGAATGGACGTGAAAATGTGCATATCCTGTAGTGTAATTTTGAATATTAAATGAGGCATTCAGTAAAGTGCTTACGACAGTGTGTGCCTGCTGCACAGGAGGCAGTAACTGTTAGTTGTCATTATCAGTGTTGTTGAAATTTATATTTATCCTGCTCTTCCCCTTGACTTTACATTGTAGACCCCACCCCCTGCTGTTATACTCTCTTCCTAAACATAATCTGTGGCAACATAAATATTAATACACAATGTGAACGTACCATAGTTGTAATTTTTATTGAGGGACACTTAGTTTCCTTTTTTGTTGTTTTTTTAAAATTTATTGTACATAATTTTTTTTTAAACAGTAATCAAAACTTAAAAATGTTTTTAATTAAAAGAATTTTTTTAGCCGCACCATGCAGCATGTGGGATCTCAGTTCCCCAACCAGGGATCAAACCCCTGCCCCCTGCGGTGGAAGTGCAGTCTTAACTACTGGACCACCAGGGAATTCCCAATATACATAAATTTTCAATGAGCACCCTTATGCATAAAGCTTTTACCAAATTTAGGGTAATCTTCTTAGTATATATTCCCAGAGGTGGAAGTGATCAACTTGATATCCACTGTCAAGTTGTTTTCCAAAAAAAGCTTTTACTGATTCTTTGACCAGCATGGATGAAAAGAGCCAGCTTTTCGTGCAACCTTTCCTAGCCTGGGTCTTATTTAAAGGTACCTTTGCTGATAAGTCAAAACTGGTATCTTATTATGGGAATATAGGGCTGTTTGCTTTTTGTTTTGTTCTACGTACAGATTTGTTCTGCTAAATTCAGTACAAGAGGAGAGACAAGAGAACTCACCACTCTGTGAAAGGCTTTAGACAGAGTATTTTTCATTACTGTCTAGAAGCCCCAGCCTACCTTTTTTTCTTTTAGTTTTTTACACATTAAATATTCTTATTCCCGGTTATTTATAGTGTCATTCTGAGAGCTCTGCTCCTCTATTCTTTTTTATTGTAAAAAAAAGTAGGTATTTCAGACCATCACTTGCATTTACCTCGTTGCCTCTTATTAAATTAGAATGAGTTGACAATGAGCGTTAGATGGAAACCGTGCCCGTGAATGAAACCTGATTTTTGCTTGAAACATTCTTTTCAGCTGTGGGCTGTGGGCAGCCAGGGAGCGGACAGCCATCAGTTCTGGGTGGGTGTGGCAGCATGTCCCAGGCACGTTTGGGAGCGAGGCCAGCAGCCCTTTTCTCTGAGGAGCTGAAGCCTTTTCAAGCCTGCTCCTCTTCTCCCTGGGTCCATGGAGGATTTGGTTCTCAGGGTCAGAGCGTGCCCTCTGACTGTACTGGGCCTGCTCTTTCAGAAACCATCAACAGGTGTCTTAGGAAATATCTGGAACAGCTGAAGGCCCCTGTGGGGCCTCTTTCAGAAGCCCTTGGAAACCTGCATCTCGACTCATCACCAGGTGAGTCAGATGTGGCCCCTGGCTCCGTCCCAGAAGAGACCCCAGTCACAGGATCCTGCCGTTTGAAGTGTGTGTGTTACGGCGTTGGGAACTTCGCCACCTGCATCATAGCTAGAAACCAGCTCGCATTTTTGCTTCTCTTTCTGGAAAAGTGCCAGGTAAATTTTGGTATCCTTCTTTATTGTCTCCTTCCTTGGTCTTGTGCACACAGATGTTGACTAAGCCACTCATTTGCCCTCTGCAGATCCCCAGAAGTCACTGCTGGGTGTATGACCCTCTGTTTAGCCAGCTGGAAATTGCGGTTCTTAGCACCCTTGGTGTGGTTGTTCTCAGTGAGAACGAGGTACGTGGTTTAAGAGAGGGAGCAGGGAGGGCTGGGCAGCTGCTCACCAAGCGGACCCCGGGCCCTGTCCCGGGGCGCCAGGCTCTGTGACTAGCGGTGCCTCCTCCCCAGGGCGTCCGTGTGTGGCTGGTCTGTTACCCCATTTGGACCTATGTTGTGCCTGTCAGAAGAAAAAAATCACACAATGGCACAAACACGTTAGGTTTGCAAAATTCTCGTTAAGAATTGTGTCCCAGTTTTATGCTTAGTTGGTATTTACTGTTGCTGCAGAATAGAGGGCACAGTCTCCACACCTCAAACGAGGTCCTTCCAGTTGGAACGTGCCCTGTCCTGGGGGAGGGAGGCCGTAGACCAGTCACACGCATAGCACCTGGCTGAGGGTTACGGCTAAGTCCTTGGCCTACCCTGCACCCCCTAAAAAGGCTGGGATTCAGATATCTGAGACCTCTGGAAAAAACATCATTGCACAAGCCAAGGGCTGGAGCGAATCCACGCAGGTACCCCTACATTTAGTCAGGCATTGTCTTGGGGATCACAGAATCATTTTGTTCCTCTCGGTTCTGAAACCGCCATCTCATTGCTTATTATGAAACATGAAAATTAGGCCCAGCTGAGAGGAGAGTCAGTCTCTGATGTTGGCGGGGTCCTAAAACACTGCGGTTCAGCTCAGGTCATCCCGAGCTCTGAGTGCCTGCTCTGTGCGAGGCAGGGAGCTCTGGGGAGCCCGAGGGCGGTGGGTGCTGCTCTCCGCCACTGCAGGGCACGTGGCTGTGAACAGGCGCATGACGAGTGGACAGCGAGCAGAGCCACGCCTGGGAACTGAGACGGAGGACACCTGTGCTCTTCCGGGGGTCCAGGAAGGCTTCCTGGGTCTGAGCTGGGATTTGAAGGTCTCCCAGGAGTTTGCTGAGAGCCAGGACTGCAGGCAGCCTGGGCGGAGCCGCTGCTCAGGAACCACGGCCAGTGTGTCATGGGCTGGGGAAGCTGCAGGGAGAGAAGAGAGGCCTAGGGTCCCCGGCGCCAGACAGCAAGGGCCAGGGGGCTTGTTCCCACCGGAGAGGTGGCAGAGATGACATAGAGCAGAGGTTCTTCAGAGGCAGTGACTGGACCCCCAGGGCACGTTTGAAAAGGACTGAGTTACAATAGGGATCTGCAGAAAGTGACTCAGGAAAACACAAGTACCTGAGGGACAGTGACCTCTGCTGTCCCTCCTGCCCTGCTGTCACGGACCCAAGCTGTCCCTTCATTAGTCCAGAGCCTTCTGCGTTCATGGGACACGCATTTGTTAAGTAAACGCGAGTGCTTTCTGGACTTCATGACTTCTTGACTTGTAGTCCCGTATAATCCTATAGAGTTCACATGCACTACTTATGTAACTGTTCCACAAGAGAGTGTAGTAGTGTTTCCATTTGATGCTTCAGTTCGCCTTCCCCTCAGCTCATCATTTGTCCAGCTACACTGACCTGTAGTGACGTGTAACGTGTAAGTTGAACGTGCACCAGTTGATTTGATGCATTTTTTTGTAAGATGATTGCAAGCGAGCTAACACATCCTTCAGCACCACACAGAATTACATTCATTTTTTGGTGGTGACAACTCACAGCTCATTATCACTCTGCCCATCCCTCTCCCTCACCTTGTTGTAAGAAGTGTGTTTACACCTGTGCACGTTGTACCCCAGGAAGGAAAACGGAGTGTGTACGGCGAGCCCACCGTCTTTTACATGCTCCACTGTGGGACGGCGCTCTACAACAACCTTCTGTGGAGGAACTGGTCCATAGATGCCCTTTCCAAGATGGTCATCGTTGGGAACAGTTTCACAGGACTCGAGGAAAGGTAAGCCTGGGAACGCCGAGGTGCCACCAGGCCCTGAGGTGAACCCATTCCTCAGACTGACCTGCAAGCAGGAAACATTTCACACTTGGAAAGGCTTTTCCATGGGAACCTGGACAGGGGGTTGGAGCTGGGAGACGTCAGCCCTGAGTCAAGCTGGGAAGCAAGTTAAGGAGTCTTTCTGCCAATAATTCCTCCCTTCCCTTAGGACAGGCAGAAACGGCTTTTTAAAATGGGGGAAAAAACATTTGAGTTCTCTTCTTACAGCTGCATAACATCCTCTTCCTGCTTCACGATGCCTCGGTGTCTGCTGTCATTTTTCCCTGATGAAATGGGCAGTGACTGGGGCGTTCACACCTTCTACTAAATATTTAACCTACTCTGCATCCCACATTTTTAAAGATTTTTTGATCTATTTCAGTCACCTTGCCCTTCTGTGTCTTAAGTTGAATGAAACCACTCTCAAACCACCTAATCAGATTTTTAAAAAAATTTTTGTTCTAGGTTGTTGACAAGGATTCTGCAGAAACATTATCCGTATGTTGCAAAGGTATGTGCCTGAGTGAAGGGGCTGGGGTGGGACATCATACATACCTCTCCATTACCCTGGAGAATTCTGCCTTCACCTGTAGCAGCGGGAGCTCCCGTGGGGCTAACCGAAGGCGGCACAGCGAGGTTACAGCACCGTCAGCTCTCGCGAGGGGTCTGTGTTCCAGAAAGCTAGGACGTTTTAGTGCATCGCTTCATTTTTTTCTTAATTATTTCCTCTATTCTTAGTATCTGGTCTGCAGTAGGCACTGCCCTTGGGGCTTCCAACTCATTGCACAAAGCACTTAAAATACCTTACTCCTTATTTTTTAAAAAAAGGGAGGTGGGGGTGAATAGTAAAACGGGACTCTAACCCAGGAGGGTGGGCCTTACTGGGACTCTCAAGGTTTTGTTTTACTTTCGAATTTTCCTGCTCAGATTTTGAAAGGACGGGAGGAGCTGGCATTCCCTCAGACTTCACAGTACACGGACGTATTTAATGACACCTCCGTCCACTGGTTTCCTGTACAAAAGCTAACACAACTCTCCACGGACACTTGGGCCTTCCGGGAAGAACCGGATTACCAGGACTGTGAGGGTCTCGAGATCATCAGGAACAAGACAGAAGACCCTTCAGCCACTGACTTGAACCCGCTGTGATGTGTCGCCACAGAGGGACTGCAGTGAGTCCCCTTTCAGACAGGGCAGGAAGTACGTCAACTGTGATTTAAAATACCGTTTGTTTATTCACCAGTCTGTCCGTGGCAGGGGCTGCGGTCTACTTGGCCATGTCAATCAGGCTCTGCAGGGAGGTGGGCACCCAGGTCTTCTCCCCCTGCACGAACACCACGCCCCTATCGATGTAGATGACGATGCGGCCGAAGGTGTACAGCTGCTTCCCTTCGTGTCGCTTCCCGATGACGGGCATGAAGACGATGTTGTGCTCCTCGGCCTTGGTCTCAATGAGGTCTTTAAAGTTCATGGGCACGGAGCTGGCAGCCACGCCGATGCCTCTCTGGGCCATGTTCTCAGCCTCTCGTCGTTCCTGCATGGCCTCGTACTGGAAATCCTTCCTCCGCTCCGTGTGGGTGAGGTAGGCGATGTTCTCCCGTGCTCCGGGCTGCATGTAGGCACCTGGCAGATAAAGGGGGGATGGCGGGGGTGAGGGACAGGTCCCAACATGACAGAAATGGAGACGCCGACTTGGCCTAGGGCTGGGTATGCCACAGGCGCCGTCTCCTAAGGCCTCCTGGTGCCTCAGAGCACTGGTTTTAAATAAACCAGATGATCAAGCACCTTGGGGGAAATGTGGCCAGCTGGCTGCAACCAGAGATTATTAAATATTCCACATAATAAAGAAGCATCAGCAAGGGACTTATTCTTATGGGCCAGAAACCTTGACAGTCATTAGACACTGTTCTGTTCCCTTCTTGCTAGAGTTTTCACTCCACACTTCCCCCAGGGCAGCTTTTAGAACCCTGAAGACACATGGCCTATACTAGTTATATATTTAACTTACCCATACAGGCCCCTAGCCCTGGAAGAACTTTATATCCGGGGAGCTGAAACACAGATGTTTCAGCTTCACAGATGAAGGGATAATACAGGACCATATTTGCCTCATTAAATGCAGTATGTGTCTATGAATTCTCTGTTTTCATGTAATAGGCTAAGTAGAAAGAATTAAAGCCTCGCCTCGGGAAATAGAAATTACAATCCCAGCTGCCACTCTGTAGTTCTGTGACCTTGAATGAGCTCTTGACCTTCTCTGTGAAACATGGCTAGACTAGGTGCTCCATTGGCCTTTGCTTTGAGACGTGAGCACACTCTTCACAGAGGACTGGCTGAGTGGCTCCCAGGCAGAGGGACTTGCCTAGAACTGAGTAGTTCGGGAATAGGTAGTAAACGAACCAGCTGCCTACTTCTGACACACCAAAGACACCATCTACTGAGTGCCATCCACGAACAGTACGTACCTTGGTCCCCCTCGGTGCTTAATAAAAACCTGGAAGTGGGTCCTTACTACTGCTTTACAGGCAAAGAAAATGGGCTAAAGAAGTTAAGCAGCTACTAAGCGTTAGACCGTCACCCAGCTCCACACCATGAGCTGTTCCACTGGAGTGGCCACAGAACGCCGGCCGGGCAGACATGCCGAAGAGCCCAGGTGGAGCTTGAGTGAGTGAGTGCCCATTCAGGAAGAACGCCCCTCCCAGCCCCAGGAGGTGGGGGAGTGGCTGCTGGCTAAATAAGTATGTGATGGGTCTTGTGGGCAAGAGTCTGTGCCCTGCAGGCGACGGTGAGCCCACTGGTACCTGAAAACTCTGTCATTTCCATGCTCAGAAACGTGGAGCTGGCCCAGGATCTCCATAAAATGGAACCCTCACTCACCGACATTGGAGGACACCGCCCTGTTCATGATATCAAGTGCCTCGTTAAATTTGTCCTTGACGGATGGGTGCGCCAGCACTTGGTCTGAGAACATGGACTTCCAACCCAGGTACCACTTGGTGATCTCCTCATAATTTGGGCTGTTACTGAGCCAGGAGCACAGCACCTGCCAAAAGGGAACAAATACGAAACCTGCATCCACAGTGGCAAGAAAGGGGAGCAAAACTTCCAAAGGGGCCACTTGTTTTGTGTGGGTCCTGCTCCTACAAGCTGATGATACCTGGTAGCTAAGTGCCCTGCATGTGAACTGCACCTCGGCCTCCCACCTACACACGCGATACCAGTCCCCACCTTACAGGGCTGTTGGGGGGGTGGGTAATCAGACCAAGTGCTTAGAACAGCATCGGGCACGTGGCAAATGTCCAATAAAGTGGTGCTCACTGTTCCTGCCCGCCTCATTCTTACCTTGCCGTGTAGTTTACCTTCATTGTGTGGCCACAGCACTGCCACCCAAGGCTCCAGTGACTCCCTCCCTGTCCCCAACGCACCTCAACAAAGCGAAACAAAGCGTACCTGAAGCCACTTGGGGAAGAAGTGCTTTTCAAGAAGCCCCACCAGGCTGGAGACAGAGATCATCCCTTCCCAGTCGATGACCCAGTAAAAAGCATCCATGTGCTGCTGGTGGGGGTTGATGACCAACTCCCCGAGGCACATCCCTGGAAGAGAAACCAGCCTCTAAGGCAAAGCCACATAGCAGTGGCATCACCAGACAATGTCGGCTTTCGATCTGCTTTTAAAGGTCAAGTTTAAGCTCCTGTGGCTACTCTTAAAAATTGTTTTCTTTTCTCTAATCCAGTATGACAAAAATTTCAGAATACCTGTGGCTATACTGTCAGCAAAGGCCCGAACTGGACCAATCAGGAGGCAGGCAGGGTCTGATGTGGTTAGTGCAGAAAGGGACCTGGTTAACATTTATATTCGGCCTCAGTGCGCAAAACGCCACCTCTTATCCTGAGAAATATGCACTCAGAGCTCAAAGGCCATGTTTCTAAGCAGCACCGTCATTACCGCCAGCCACAGAAGCCAGGCACCGAAGCTGCTCGACCCAGATGCATGTCCCCGTTCCCTTACCCAGTTTGGGCACTATGTTCTTGACCATGAATGCCTCCCAGGAGCCGGGGGTGAAGACGTCCTTCCAGGGCTGGAGGATGAGCTTGGCCGAGGAGTCGCTGGGGTGCCACTTCTGCAGGGCGCTGGCCAGCTTGCTGCGGATGGGAGAGTAGAGCGGCTCCAGGCGCGCCTGCATGAGAGGCAGCCACGGGTGGATCCACGAGTGGATGGGGACGGTGTCTGTGAGCGGGTTCCAGTTTTCCACCTGCAGGAGGAGCGGGGGAAAGGCAGCAGGGAGAGGATGAAGAGAAATGCGAAACGAGCCCCCGTGCTTCCTGATGACAACCGTTCCCCACGCCCAGCCTCACCTCCTTCTGCAGCTTGGGGAAGACGAGCTGGTCCAGGATGTTATCCAGGATCCACACGGGAATGATGTGCACCCAGCTATCCAGAAAGTCCACCATCGGGTCACAGTTCCTCGGCTGCCAGTGAGTGACGATATTTCGAACAAATGGCATCCAGACTTCCCATATCAGCCTATACGAGAAAGGCAGGGGGCGGCTGGCTAAAAGCACTGGCTGGTTTCCACGTGTGCAAAGTACACCGCCACCTACCTCTAGGCTAAGAAAGAAAATGGCAACAGCGGGGCAATCCAGTCACAGAAAACCACCGGACCGGCCCATGTGTTGGCCAGACGTGCGCCTGCCTCGACCCCGCTCTCCTGGCCGCCCACTCGGCCTTGGGGCCTGTCTCCTCAGTAGCACCTGCCGGGTCCCGCCCCCCAAGCATCGTGTGCTTCCCCAGCTGGAGCTCTATCGGCACAGCCAACGCCCCTCATGCTTTAGGGTCACAGCTCCAACGTCACCTCCCCCGAGAGACCTGTGCCCTCCCCACAGGTGTGCACCCTTGTCATTCTCTACTGCTGGACCCAGGTGGTTACCACCTGCCTTTTCCCCTCAGTGGAGACAGGCCGTCTCTTCACTCCCAGGGTAAGGCAGCAGCACGGAGCACAGGCAGATCCTCAACGACCACTTGACAGATGTGGGGTGCACTAATGAATGAATTTAAATTCCCCGAGCAGCATCGGCACGTGGCCAGGGCTCATACAGGCAGTGCCCCCCGTCCCCCCCGAGGAGCACCTGTGGAAGGCGTCTGCTGAGAGGTCCTGCCCCCCGTGGGACAACAGCTGGTCGTTCTCCAGGAGGCTTTTCCACTTGGAGATGATCTCGGTGCCATACGTACAGTCCTGAGGAGAAACACATCAGCCGAGAGGCAGCGGGCTGACGGCCCCCTTGCCCCCGGGCCTGCCCCAGAGGAGAGGCAGCGCGGCGGACTCCCCGCCCACTCACCTTGAGGGGGTCCCACTCCTTGAAGTAGTCCTTCATGAGCGGGTAGACGATGGCCACGGCCAGGTCCACGCGGTCGGACATCCTGTACTCCTCGTAGTACTTGTCCTGCAGGGTCTCGAAGATGCGGGCGCACTCATCCAGGGTAAGGGGGTCACCGCACCCGGGCTGCAGGCGCCGCTCGCACTCCTCCACGAGCCCCAGGACCTTGCTCAGGTTGGAGATGGCCCGTTCCTCGTGCTCCAGGACCTCCGACACCTTTTCCAGCTCGTGGGACAGGTTGACCACCATGTCTCGCTCGTACTGCAGCTGCCGGTCGTTCTGGATGATCTCCTGCTCTGTGAGGTCGATGAGCAGCTGCAGGTTGTGCTCCAGCTCCGGCAGTGCGAAGCCGGGGGCCTTGGCCTCCTTGCCGGGCTGGGGCGGCTGCTGTGACTGCAGCGGGAGCCCGTCGTCGGGGACGCTGTGCTTGTGGCTGATCTGGCTGTAGCTGTAGTAGACCTTCTGCTCCCGGCCCGTCATGTCTATGACCTTGGAGAAGGCGGCAGAGGGCACGTGGGTTAATGCTCACCACCGCTGCCCTGTTAGACACACACCTGAGCCCGGGGAAGGCACGACGCTAGTGGGAACATGTCAAAACCACACCGTTCAGCAGAGCTGGAGAAGGGCGGTGTTTCTCAAAGTGGGGCCTGGGCTGCGCTAAATTGGAAGAGACTCCAGGGACAAAACAACCAACCGGTTGTTGAATCGGTCCCTCTGGACCAACCGGATGAAGAAGACTTTTTAGCAAAACTGATGAAATATGAATGTGGACTATTTAGTTGAGATGAAAATCTATTTTCATGGAAAAGTAGAGGCTGTACTGATCAAAGCAGGCAATGGGACAACAAACACAATCAAAATCGTATTTTGGTAAAAAAAAATGCATATTTAGACAAAAACACCTGGAAGGATGTACATCACAGGTGTGAAAACCAGTCATTTATGGGAAAGGAAAGTAATTCTAATATTTTTGCCTCTATTTCTTAATTGTCTAAAATGTACTGCATACTGCTCTGTAGTAATAGTTTTTTTAATTTAAAAACAACATGAAACATACAAAAGGCAACCGAGGAAATGAGCTAACTTCAATGTCTGAAGGAGACTGAGGAAACGAGAACGTGGCTGTGCTGAAACAGAAGCATCGCCATCACCTGAGGTGAGAGTGTAATCTCTGAACCACCTGTATTACAAATACCTGGGGGAAAATAACGGAGCATGAGGCCTCAGGCCCCATCTAGAGCTACAGCCTCAAAATCTCCAGCTGTGACCTGGACATCTGCGCTTCTCACCAGGTCCCCAAGTAACCTGATACACAACACCCTGACCTCTGAGAACCCCACTCGACTTTCTGTAATACACACGCACTGTATCTCCTACGCTACGTCCCCACAACAGACATCTGTCACCAATGTTCTCTGGCCACTAGGGACAGTAATGGAAAAGCTCAGAACAGTGGTAATCATCTTAAATGCGATGCCGGGACGCCCTGAGGGCCCACTCCTGCTCGAGAAGTGAGTTAGTGCAACCTTCCCACGATTTAAGAGCCTTGATGACTTTAACCTGTGACTGCACTTCTAGGACTCTATCCTTAACAGCTGTAAAACAAAGACAAGCTTTATACACAAACTAACCTGCCCCAAACCAAACCAGAAATGTTAAAGGTCTAGCAACAGAATGACAGGAGCATCATTAAATCCACTGGCGGCAAAGCTCCAGAAAGCTGCGGACACTGTTCGATCTAGCACTCTCACGCCACAGGGAGCGCTTGGCACGGGTGGGACGGCGATGAGCCTGAGCGTGAGTGCGGGGAGTGGGCACAGGCTGCTTCATGCCACAGAGGCAGCACACACACAGCCGGGATGGAAGGCCCGCGCGAACCTTACGAGCAATGTTCGGTGACTGCTCTGGTGTATGGGATAACTTTGTGTCTTCCAAGCCCCCATCCTGGACCAGGCATCCACGGGCCCCATACCTTGACCTGAGAAAGCTCCTTCTGGGGAGCAGCGAGCTTCTTGCTAATCCTGCCCTTGGCTTTCAACTCTTCCACTGTCTTGTAAGAGTATCTGGGCTTCTTCTTGCTTCCACTGGGGTCTTTCCTCCACTGGCTCAGCTCCTTCTGAAATTCCTGAGTCAGAGGGATACAGTCCATCACAAGAAGGAAGGGCCACTTTTTACCACAGGTGGGGTCGGTGAGACTTTCACAAGGTTCTGTGCTGAGGACCGTACTGTGTAACACTAAACCCAGCCGAGGACACTGCTTGACACCCGCTCCCCGCCCTTACCAATGCTGAGACCCCTTCCCCACACACCCAACCTCAAGTTCTCCCCAGGACTTCCTGCAACCACACTGTGGTTACTTGTTGACCACGTCCCTGTCCACCAGGCTCCACACCCGTTCAGCGTGTGACACCAGCCTCCAGCACGGTGAGTGGCACACGGTAGCTGGGCGAGTGAGCGAGCAGATGAACAAACACCAGTTGAAAGGGGCACAGACAGCACCCGGCCCGTCTCCTGACTCACCTCCTCGGCTTCTTCTTCGGAGTCAGCCATGGGGAAGTCTTGGATGGGCTGAGTGGTGCGCTCCGAGCCATATGCCCCCACGGCGCCCTTCCCCTTTCTCTGCTTGGCTTCGATTGGGTTGATGATACCTGACAAATTTCAGCAAAAGACAGAGACTTCAGGTCACGGCAGTTGCCATGTGTGTGAGCCACTCAGGGGGACCACACTCCTGGGTCCTTACTCAAGACGACGCACCACCCAGGAAGGAGAGTGCACTTCTGCCCTCGTAACACTGTTCCACTCCTGGGTGACCGGAAGTGTCTGTGCATTTATGCTGCCACAGAGCAGTGTGCGGATATCACCATATGTATGTCCTAAACACAGATTTCCATTTCCACTTGGATTCATTGTTTTAGTGGATGGGAATATTCATTTATAACTGGAAACTCTGGCATACTAGAGTCTACACTTTGTTAATTTGGAAGCCTATTAATACAGAAAGGGCAGTAATTCAGATAATATATTAATTCTGATTAAAGTGAGGTGAAGCTGCCATTTAATATGAAACGCCATCTATTTTACTCAGTACTTCATGTCTCCCGTGCTTAACTTGTTCTATAACATGTTTAAGCCTTGGAAATAAATGTGTCTTTCCTGTAAAAAAGTTTACAAACAGGACTACAACATTTCAGTGAAGAACTGCCCTCACCCCAAACTTCCCACCACACCCCTTCCAGCTAGTACCGTGGAAATGCCACGTTAGAACGTCCCTCACGCATTCCAGGTCACCTTTTCCATCTTCACTCAAGTCTGTGGATTTTTCATACAGCTAACAGTTACCTGTCCTGCCCCTTTGTGAGCAGGGACCACAGACTCCTATGCCTTCAGGGCCCAGAAACATTAACAGGAACAAGGAAAGTGGGCTGGGGTGTGGAAAAGGCTTCCAGAATAAGGCCGTGGCTGCTACCTGGGGCAGGAAGGTTCAGCGAAACCACTCACCGCCAAGCAAATCTAGAATTCAGATTTTTAAATACTGGCAACCAGTTTGATTTTTTTTAGAAACAGTGGGCGGGCCAGAAAGAAGCCTGTTTTCAGCCTATCAGCCTGCAGCCTATTTGAACCCTAACCTCTCCCTCCTGCTAAAATAAGTGTATTTTATGTAACTTGAGTTCTGATAAAGTGCAGTGGCATGGAGCACAACTGTCATGCTGCCAGAAAAGCGAAAAAGCAGAGAAAAGGCAAACCACGCCCCAGCTGCTCTTCCGGCCTCTGCCTGGCCGCCCTCGTGTGAGATGGTGGAGTGGGGGTACCACACCTTGTGCGTTCTTCCCGAGGCCTCTTCCAGGGACATAGCCCATCTTCTGAAGAAGCTTCTGTCCAATTCCTTTTGTGTGTCTTTCCCAGCTGCCAAAATCCATGAAAGACTTGGTTCCTCCTGCAAAACCTTTCTGGCTGGGTTTAAAATTGCCACCCTGAAAAGAAGAAGAAAAATCAAAAGAAGGAAAAACCTAAGGAAGAAAGCTTGGCTGATGGGAACATGGCTGGCAGTCACAGAGCATTGTGAAAAGTATCCTATTGTACAAACCAAACATATCTGTGATGTGTCTCAGGAAAGAGACAAGACCGCACTGCACATATCACCCCTCAGGGAAACCTACCTCACAGGGAGAGACCCACACAAGCGGCCTCCAGCTGAACCCCTCCCCCAGCAGATGCTTGGGCCAAAGTGATCTTCCAGGGGCATTACTAAGGTCACAATCCTTCAATAAAAATGCTACCGTTTTTAACTTCTTTGGTCCGAAATCCTTAGGAAATTCATCCTGCTTAACAGGTTTCTCCTCATCGTCGGAGCCTTCCAGCTCCGGCTCTTCTGCCGCCCCTTTCTTGAGCCCCGCGCTGATGAAGTTGACTGGCGCCGAGTAGTCGCGGGCCCTACGGGCAAACACAAGGCCCCACGGGGTCCATGAGAACTCTCTGCAGGCATCCCTTGGAGCAGCTTTGCTGGCCAGAGAACTTCCTTAGGGCGGACCTCGTGGGATCCACTTTAAAGACCAACCCATTGACTTGTATCAAAAGGGCCCCAGTAATCACGTTTGACATTTTTGCCTGATGTGTTCAAGTCAACTCCGTGGCTTAAGAGTTACCAATAACATACACACTAACAAACGTAGTAAGGTAGATAGCTAGTAGGAAGCAGCCGCATGGCACAGGGATATTGGCTCGGTGCTTTGTGACAGCCTGGAGGGGTGGGATAGGGAGGGTGGGAGACGCAAGAGGGAAGACATATGGGAACATATGTTTATGTATGACTGGTTCACTTTGTTATAAAGCAGAAACTAACACACCATTGTAAAGCAATTATACCCCAATAAAGATGTTAAAAAAAAAAAGTTACCAATAACAGAGTTGACTTAAAATTGTAAATATGATGTAACTGTCCACCTTCCTTTTACGTTTTTAAAAAATTAACTTACTCTAAAAAGCATTTGTGACATTGAGTCGAGATGGCATCCCCCCCAAGACTCCAGGAGCACATGTACAAATGGAGCGGCTCTCAGAGAACACCTGCTGGACACCAGCAGAGGACCTCGGACACCAGAAAGGACAAGAAGGAGCTCCGCGGAACCAGGGAGGACAAAGAAAGACAAAAAAAAAAAAAAGCAGCAGGACAGGACCTGCACCCCTAGGGGGGAGGTCTCGTCACGGGCGGAGAGATCAGCCGGGACAGAAAGGGAGCTTCGGAGGCTCAGAGGAGAACGCAGCAACCGGTCCGTGACAGGCAGGACAGAGTGAGAACTAGGCGGACGGTCTGTGCCACAGCCCTACACACCCCAGCCTGAGGCCTGTGCCCGCTGGGACGGGCAGGGGCTGCGTGCCCGAAAGTGGGGTTTAAAGAACAGACCCGGGAAGAGGCCTGCTGCTGGCTGTGCAGAGACAGGCTGTAGGGGTGGGAGTGCGGAGCTCTGCAGCCAGGAGTGCTGGTGAAAGCAGCCCAGGCCGCCACAGAAGTGAAGTGCCATTTCTAAGAGGCGCACAAAGCGCAGGGCCACCACCGCAGCCTCTTCCCCACGCACGGCCCCTGCCTCTCCCAGAGCAGCCCGCTCGCCCGAGCCGGCTCGTGCGCTCCAGCAGCCTCGGGAGCAGATGCCCGTGGGTAGCCCGCACGCAGAGGTGGGGCTGAAGCCCCAGCTGAGCCCCAGGGGCCCTGAAACTACGGAAGAAGAGCTGAAGTCTCCTTGCGGCTGCGCGAACTGGATTTACGCCTCTGCTGGGGGCTTTATAAACTCAGCTCCTGCTGAACGTCCAAGAGGACGTCCGAGAGGACGAGTGCCCCCTCGGCTGAAACAGGCCTGGCTTCAGCAGCCGAGGGCTCCGTGGGCACATACACGCGGGGCTGGGCTGGGCCAGGCCGGAGTCGGAGCTGCCCCCACAGCAGGTCCAGGTGCAGCACTGCTGCGGTCCTGGGACCTGAGTTCAGTGCATGTGCACTGCTGGCCTGGTGAAAACAATGCCTGAGCATCACCGGGGCCAACTGCCAGCTCACCGCAGTTAAGGTGGGACCAGTGCCAACAACAGCGTACTTTGTAAGCCCACGCAGCGGGGGAAGAGTGACACAACAGAGCACATTCACAGGTGAAAGCTCCCATGGAGGAATACTCAGTGGCTTCTCTCCCAGTGGGAGTGCTCCAATCCCACCTACCTTGCACCGCAGATCAGAAACAGCTCAGAAACAGATCTGGGGGCTTCTACTCCAACAGCTAGGGAGCAGACCCTGCCCCTGACACGGCAGTGACAACCACAGAGCAAAGAGGAGGCCTCACTCGATAGCCAGTGTAGGCTCTGGTCACAACATCAGTCACACCACCTATCAAAGGGATAACGGCCAGCATACACTGAAGAAAGAGGTGGCAGACATCCATACGAAAGGCAACACTTGCACTAAAAAAATATTAAACCCACGCAGGCTACACAGGGACATTCCCACTTAAAAAGGGCCTTCCAGGGACTTCCCTGGTGGTCCAGTGATAAAGAATCCACCTCACAATCCAGGGATGTGGGTTTGATCCCTGGTCGGGGATCTAAGATCCCACATACTGTGGGGCAACTAAGCCTGCACGCCACAACTACTGAGCTCACACACCTCAACCAGAGCCCGCATGCTGCAAACTACAGAGCCCAGCCCTCTGGAACCCGTGCACCACAACAAGAGAGAGAAAACCCACACCCACAACTAGAGAGAAGCCCACGCACCACAACAAAGAGCCCGTGCGCCACAACGAAGATCCCACATAGGCCGCAACTAAGACCCAACACAGCCAAAAATAAATAATAAATGAAATAAATAATAAATATTGAAAAAAAATTGCCTTCCAAGACAGTCTGAGGGCCTGGTGTCAGGAGGAGGAACCCCCAGGGCATTTAGCTTTGAAGGCTAGTGGGGCTTGAGTGCAGGAGTTCCACAGGGCTGGGGAAACAGAGACTCCACTCTTGAAGGGCACACAGGGCACACACAAGGTCTCACATGCACTGGGACCCAGCACAAAGCAGTGCCTCCACAGGAACCTGGGCTAGACCTACTTACAGGTCTTAGAGGGTCTCCTGGGGAGGCAGGGGTCAGCTATGGCTCACTGGGGGGGGCAAGGACACTGGTGGCAGAGGCCCCAGGGAACACTGGTCAGTGTGCGCTCTCCTGGAGGTCCCCATTTTGGCACCAAGACCTGCCCCCACCCAACAACCTGCAGGCTCCAGTGCTGGAACGCCTCAGTCCAAACAACCAGCCAGATAGAACACAGCAGAGAGGCTGCCTCAAGTACTGAGCTTAAAGCCACCTCTTGACACAGCCCTCCCCACCAGAGGGAAAACACCCAGCTCCACCCACCACAGGGCAGGCATCACTCCCTCCCACCAGGAAGCCTGCATAAGTCCCTGGACCAACCTCACCCACCAGGGGGCAGACACCAGAATAAAGAGGAACTACAATCCTGCAGCCTGTGGAAAGGGGACCACAAACACAGAAGGACAAAATGAGATGACAGAGAAATATGTTTCAGATGAAGGAACAAGATAAAACCCACAAGAACAACTAAATGAAGAAGAGATAGGCAATCTACCTGAAGGAGACACTTCAGAGTAATGATAGTAAAGATGATCCAAAATCTCAGGAGAAGAACAGAGGCACAGACCGAGAAGACACAGAAATGTTTAACAAAGAGCTAGAAGATTTAAAGAACGAACAGATGAAGAATACAACTAAAATGAAAAATACACTAGAAGAGGGACTTCCCTGATGGTCCAGTGGTAAAGAATCCGCCTACCAATGCAGGGTACACGGGTTCGATCCCTGGTCAGGGAACTAAGATCCCTCATGCTGCAGGGCAACTAAACCTGTGCGCTCCAACTACTGAGCCTGCGTGCCTCAACGAGAGAGCCCACGTGCCGCAAACTACAGAGCCCACGCACTCTGGAGCCCACGCGCCAAAACTAGAGAGAGAAAACCCGCACACTACAACTAGAGAGAAGCCCACGCAGAGAGAAGCCCACATGTCACAACGAAAAGCCCGTGTGCAACTAAGGCCCAACGCAGCCAAAAATAATAATAATAAATAAATAAATATAAAAAAGATACACTAGAAGGGATCAATAGCAGAATAACTGAGGCAGAAGAACAAATAAGTGAGCTGGAAGACAGAGTGGTGGAAATCAATGCCATAGAACAGAATAAAGAAAAAGAATGAAAAGAAATGAGGACAATCTCAGAGACCTCTGGGATAACATTAAACACACCAACATTTGCATTATAGGGGTCCCAGAAGGAGACGAGAGAGAGAAAGGGCCTGAGAAAATATCTGAAGAGATTATAGCCAAAAACTTCCCTAACATGAGAAAGGAAACACTCAGTCAACTCCAGGAAGTGTAGAGAGTCCCACACAGGATAAACCCAAGGAGGAACCCACTGAGACACATATCAATCAAACTGACAAATACAAAGAAAAAATATTAAAAGCAACAAGGGAAAAGCAACAAATAACAAGAGAATCCCCATAAGGTTATATCAGCTGATTTTTCAGCAGAAATTCTGCAGGCCAGAAGGGACCGGCACGATACATTTAAAGTGACAAAAGGGAAAAAACCTACAACCAAGAATACTCTACCTGGGACTTCCCTGGTAGTGCAGTGGTGAAGACTCTGCGCTCCCAATGCAGGGGCCCTGGGTTTGATGCCTGGTCAGGGAACTAGATCCCACATGCAGGCAGAACTAAGACTTCTCATGCCACAACTAAGGAGCCAGCAAGGCTCAACTAGGGAGCCCTCAAGCTGCAACTAGGGAGCCTGCCTGCCACAACTAAGACCCAGCACCACCAAATAAACAAATTAATTAATTAAAAAAAAAAGAATACGCTACCCAGCAAGGCTCCCATTCAGATTTGAGGGAGAAATCAAAAGCTTTACAGATAAGCAAAAGCTAAGAGAATTCAGCACCACCAAACCAGCTTTACATCAAATGCTAAAGGAACTTCTGGAGGCAGAGAAGGCCACAAACAGAAACAAGAAAATTATGAATGGGAAAGCTCACCGGTAAAGGAAAACATACATACAGTAAAGGAAAGAAATCATCCACACACAAATATGATATCAAAACCAGCAACCATGAGAAGAGGATAGTACAAATGCAAGAAATGGGAAATGCATCTAAATTAAGAGACCAGCAACTTAAAATATCCTTGTGTGTGTGTGTGTAGGCTGCCATATCAAAACCTCATGGGAACTGCAAACCAAAAAACTACAATAGATCCACACACAATCCAAAACAATCCGAACACAACATTAAAAACAGTCATCAAAGCACAAGAGAAGAAAACAAAAGGAAAAAGACCTACAAAAACAAACCTGAAACAATTAAGAAAATGGCAGTAAGAACATACATATTGATA